AATTCAGTCTGAGAAGCCTTGCAGAGGCTTTTTCCAAGCCTCTGGGAGGCCGAAAAAGGCCTCAAACCAGCCAAAAAAATCAGCTGTGAGGCACTTTGCAGATAAGGGCGTGGGAGGTGGGGGATTGCAAGCGCATGTGCAGGGGGCATGGGGAGGGGGGAGCACATTGTATTCTGGGTGCTGGCATGCGAGTGCAGGAGTGCTGGCGCACTCATAATTTTTGGCACAGGAGCCCAAAAAGCTTAGCCACAACTCATCTAGAGTATACTATTGAACAACTGCTCCCTTAGAAACCCCATTTCATGTACACCCTACTGTAAAGTAGATGTTTCCAGCTCAGGGATTAAGGTGCCTTGAGAGAGCTTTGTTCTTTAAGCATTCCTTCAAAACTGCCCTAGCCTCTGCTCTTTGTTCTTTGTACAACAAAACTAACAATACATCATTCATCGCTATACTGGGTTAGCTTGCCAAAGGATCCTTTCCAACTCTTGTCCCTATTATATCAAATGATAATGATAAATCTTTGTAGTAAGACTAAATTCAAACTCACATTTTTAGAACCCTTCTCAGCAGCTTCTCCTTCAGGCCCTTCTTCTAAAAAGAGCAGCATATCAGGTGACCATGCATAATACAAAATAGCTGAAACATTTAATCAAAAATACTGGTGTGTGTACACACACACACACACACAAACACACACACAAAGTATGCAATGAAAATAAAACAAGATTACTTCTCAATCTAGGTAGACTTTAGAAGTAAGTTCTTACCATTATCAGAGTCTGAGTTATCTGAGTTATCTGTTTTTGCTGCTTTGCTATCAGGTTCATCAGAACTGTTAGCTTGTTTACGTTTATTACCAGTTGGCTCATTCTTTATTCTTTTCTTCTATGAAGAGAAACATAGGAGTATATTGAGCCTTAAGTAACAACTAATTATTTTCTTATTATCAATAAAAATGTATTGAGACATACTTCTTTATACTCAAATTACCTCAAACAGCTAAAAACATGCCCAGATTTAATTTGGTCTATTTCATACAAAGCTGAAAGAATTTTTCTCCAAGGACTTTTCTCCAAGATTATTGGTTCATATATGGGATGCAATGAGAGTATCCAGGAATAGGTTTTTTAAAAAAAGCAAACATCTGAAACAAGGAATCTGTTTCCTATAATTAAAATAATAAACAAATCACTTAACAGATACCTTTGCATTCTATTTATTTATTAAATTTATATGCCCCCCTCGCTATCCAATTAGCATTGATAAGCAACCAGTCCTGCATGCATAACAGTATTATTACATGTGCCACCCTAGAGGCCTCAGAACTGTTTGTGCCACTGCTTTCTGAAACAATTGTAGCTTCCAAATACCCTTCAAGAGTAGGCCCATGTAGAGTGCATTGCCATAATCCAGGTGAAAGCTGACCAGGGCATGAGTGAATGAGCACAGGGCCTCAAGATCCAGAAAAGAACTTATACACAACACAAAGTAGCACAGAGCCATTTCTAGCCACGTTTGCCACCCACTCTTTGAGGAGTTTGACACTGGGCATTGGTGAAGAACATTAAAAAATGGAGAAGATTGCATAGGTACTTACTTTAAAATCTGCATCCCACATTTTCCAGTTTCTCCTCATTCGTTGTTTCATGCTGCCTCCTCCAAAACGCATATTGCCAGAGAAACCTCGCATGCCCTGGAACATGTTGTAATCAGGGAACAGTTTGTGGGAAAAAAGCGATGGTGGTCTATTGGGGCCATGGCCCCGTCCTCCCATTGGTACTGGTGGGTCATTCCATTGTCCACCCATACGCCCATATGAAGGTGCCATGCCTCTGTTATTTCTTCCATCTCTGGCCCAGTTTTGACCCCGGTGGCCAAAGTTGTCACGTGCTCTGTTGTGGTACTGGTCCCTGCGGTTGCCATAGGAGTTGTCATAGTGACCTTCATAGGAATTGTCGGATTCATGTTTGGCCTCACTGTATTCATAGCCAGATCTGTATGGATCACGATCATTCATTGAAGACCTTGAGTCATAGGATTCATATGTATCATACCTACAAGAGTTGCAGAGCAAGGTGAGAATCTAGGTCAATAGTATACAGAGCACCGTGTTTAAGAATCTGTAATAGAAACAGTCAGAATTCTATATTCAGTAAAATCATTAAAAGCTGAACTCATCAGGAAGCATACTCATTGTGCATTACAGTAGAAAATAAATACTGCAGCTTCATACATATAAGGGCTGAATAAAAGAATAATTATCAAGTTTAATCTCAACAAATCATCATAAAAGTAATCTAATGAAATTTACAAATATGCCTTCACCTGGGAGAGTTATGCAAATAATTATATTTTATATATAATTATATTTTATATTATATCTAGTCCTGATTCACATACCAATTTCTATATATATTTTACTATGTTAAACAAATGAAACCCATGGGAATGACTTTACAAAATAAGTTTCTACCAATTTACTCTATGCTATCAAGTAATTTTTGAAAGAATCAGAAATCATTAGCTATATAAAACAATATATTTCATACATGACACCTAGCCAGTAATATCTTCATTGTAGAAAAACACCAGAAACAACATCTAAGAAAATAATATTTTGTGCTTCTTATAATGACAATCTAACTTGGATACTTTTTTCAACCTGAAACAGCTTTGAGTTACCACTATTTCATGATAATATTCCCAAAGTTCTAAAGATTCAAGCTACATTTATTAAATTGTAGTAAAGTGTCTGCATAGTTATCCAAATGTGATTAAACATTTGAAGCTAAACCACTTTTATTTCTGTAGCATGTTGTTTTGACTGCTATGGAAAACTAAAAGTCATGCTGTATAAATAAGTCAGCACTGGACACAAGTACACAAATTATGTTTGGTATCGAGGATCTGAAAGCAAGGATATGGAAAGGAAAGAATGGCTGAGGAGGAGACTTTAAAAGCTAACTCAGAATAGAAAACAAGGCAAAGTGAATTGGACCATTGACCAATCTTATAATCCTCATACCAATGTATAGCATAGTATGGCTCACCACTGCAATTTTCTGTGTTTTCTTAGAAATTTGAGTATTTAACCACAATGTAGCATTAGCCCACTAAGGCCAAATATAAATGCCCACTCTGTATCTGGAAAATTCTGAGAAGGAAATCTCACTGATTTAAGTTTGTACAAAATTGCCACTTTAGCCATTCTCAACTTGGAAAAGTTATTTTGTTGATGTAATGCTTAGGAATCCTTATAAACCTTTCTAAGCTTTATGTGTAGAAACCATTCCAGCCTGTAAAGAATGAGTCATAAAAACAGAAATAACTATTCGAATGTGGCACAGTTATCTGCAACAACTCTTTTTCTCAAGGCAAGAAACATTTCAATGAACAGAAAAAGTAACAATGTATCACAAAAATATATTTCATACCAATTAAATTCTAAACAATTTTGTTAATTTCCTGAATATACTTTTATAGCAATGAAAAACTGTCGGGTGGAACAATACAGTCAACTTTTCAGTAGCATTTTAAAAATAAAAATTATATTAAATGGCTCCATAAAACCAAAAGCTAGTTTGGGAAGCTAATGCTGTATATGTTAATGTATGTCATTACAATGAGAAGACAATACAAGATATGTCTACTTCAGCGACTATATTTCAACTACTCAGCCCTTATTCAACAAAGGAATATGTAATTAAGAAAAAGTTGGAATATAGTAATCATTTGATTTAATGATACTTAAATATTTGTAGCTCCAGATATAAATAGTAGATATATCCAATTTAGACCAACCTTCTATATCAGTGATGGCAAACCTATGACATGTGTCAAAGCCACACATTTTGAGTGAAGACAACTGTTCTCAAAAGTATGGCTTGTTCTTATGTGATTTTTGGAGCCTGTATGAGAATGGGATATGCTCTTGTGTGCCTGTGGAAATTGCGCGAGAGGGTTATGCTCTTGCATGGCCACCAGAGCCTCTGAAAATCACATGAGAATGGGTCATGGTTTCAAACAGTTTTCAGAGGCTGCAGAGGCCATGGAAGTGCATTCTCTGAAGCCATTTCAAGAATGAAGAACTTGTGCAACCTGGAGCTGCCTCGGATAGACCACAGTGGCCTATCAACAGAAAGAAAATACTGATTGAAGGCAAGTGGCACATGGCACACCCTGATGATCACACAGAAATTTGGACCTTATTTTTTAAAATAAAATAATATATAAAAATTGATTTTCTTTTGTTCCAGGGATGCTGTGACAGGTTAGCAAAATCAAGTTAGGCATTTTCCTAATTTTTAACAAGCCAAGCCCAAAAGGTTCATTACCACTGTTCTAGATATATATCTAAAATACAGAAGTACTATCCAACTACCAATTCTAGTATAAACAATATATATTTTAATCATATAATATCTAAATGCAGGAATTTCAAAAGCAAAAATGTAAATATTCAAAATGTATTTTCTTTAAACTAACAATGTATACATTTACATTAACAATGACACATACTGTACACTAAGGAGACATTCTCTTTTTATGAATTTTTAATTTCAACTGACGCAAAATCCAGAGAAACTCTGCCTAATGGATTTGCTATTTGAATGGGATGTAAAACTGCAGTCTTTGGATAGGTCACTGTTTTCAGAAATTGATCAAAGTACTCACACCCACATTTATTTCAGAACATTTTATTACAATTCAGCTACCATATTTTCATAATTCAAAGGCATATTTAAGCACCTTATCTGCAAAGTTCAATTAAAAGTACAAACTTAGCTAAGTCTGTATTTCCCATAAGTTTTCGGTAGTAGTATGGAGCAATGTTTAGGCAGCAGCACAAGATTAGATCAACATGCCTTCCAGAAGCAGTAACTACCCTGTTCTATAACTATTACTGAACCTTTGTCTCTACACTCACCTGTCTCCACCTGAGCCATAATGTCCTCCTTGCATCGTTTCAGTGTCTAGATGAGATACCATATCTAAGCGCTGGTTAAAATTTGAAATTACATCATCAGCGCTGGTGCCAGTGGATGCGTTAAAGTTCATGTCTGCATTTGAATTAGGCATTTCCCAAGAGTTTGAAGTGCCCATACCATACCCATAATTGCCAGAGTTATCCTGACCGTATCCATATCCATAATTATAATCTTCGTAACCTGAAATAAAAAAGAGTTATTGAGTTTTCTTTTTAGATATTTAGAATATTAGGCCTGTCTAACACAAGATTGGTAGCACCAAGAATATCGCTTTCATGTGGCTACACTTAGAAAAATAAATTTTGTATCTACTTCCAATTCAACATATAAAATTAAATCTTATTTCTATGGCAGCAGCATTTGATACATGTCTTGAGAAACATTAATTCCCATCATACCTAAAAGTAAGTATTGCTAAGTCTTCGTCTATAATACCACAATCTCATCTGTAGATCAATTTTAGGACAAAGCCATACAATACAAAAGCAGAAATAACATCATTATTTCCAGTCTATTCAGTTTGCTAGGAAGCTGCCCGCAACAAAATATTTATTACTTTAGATAAAGATACTACTTGATATTTGGAGATAGAAAACTGCAAGAGAACTATAGTTTAGAATATTGATAGTACTTTTCTTCACTGAAGGAGATATTCTGTAAAAAGTACTCAGGTCTTGCACATTTAAAAAAGTATGAATTAACAAAATTGCATAACTGGGCAAATGTACAGGGTTACTCTTCTAAGGCATGGAAAAGAATATACATCATGTAAGAAAAGATGAAGGATATCTATTTCAACAATACAGTTGTGTGAGCAAAGAACATTATTTATTTATATTTCATATTTCTTAATAGCCCGTCTCTCTTAGAGAGAGACTCTGGATGGTGCACAATATAATCAATAAAATTAAACATTAAATATAAATATAAATTAATAATTAAAAATAAGGGTCAATATATATATAATAAAAACATATGAAGTGAAAGCATTAACTTTTAGGATGTCAATTAAAGAAGACTACTTCATGAATAAAGACAGAATATATATTTACATATTTATATATAAGTTAAAATATATCTATATGGATACATCATGTAGCTGAAGATTCCACAAAAGCATGCAGTTCAGAATCTGAATTGCAAATAGTTATTCTAATTAGGGATTCAGATATTTCAGTGATTTGAACGAAGAATATTCTACATTTGTTCTGAATTTTATTTAAAATTGTATTGATAACCCTCAAACAAACTGGACACCTTAATCATCTGTATACCTTCTACATTATGAAAGTCTCCACTTTCTCAAAGTATTGTTTCTCAAAGATGTAAAGCAGTGGTTCTCAACCTTTTTGTTCACTATGGACTCCCTTTAAATACTTTTTGTGGCCAATGGACTATGGCAACAGACCCCAAGACTTAACTCAAGATTTAAATAATAACATTTCTTCAAGACTTTATGGATCCTGTGATGATATCACGGATTCCCAGGGGGTCCGTGGACCACAGGTTGAGAACCACTGATGTAGAGGATGATATAATTTGAAATCTTTAGCACACAAATATTCAATTTATCTATTTGAAATGAAGCCCTCCTGTGTTTCATGAGGTTAATTGTAAGGTATGACTGAAGAAAAATTTGAATTCCCATGGATGCATGAAGTTCTACATTATATATTTAGAAAAGTGCTAGGCAGGGAAGCCAGATTAGGTGAAATGTTGCAAACACTTTTAAAAATAAATACTTTTTAGGATGCATTTAAGTAACTACCGATGGAACTATAAATATTATAAAATCTGCTACCATAGCTCAGGGTCCCGGCACCGGTCCATGGCATGTGTCAGTGTGGAAGCTTCTCAGATTTTTTAATTTTAATTGGAGATGGGTTTTTCTGGAACCCTGACAGCATGTCAGAAATTGGGTGCGCAAACAAGTGAAGCCCCATCCACAAATGCAGGCAGCACACAAAACCATGCCCCCTCAGGTCTGCAGAAAAACCTTTCTCCACGGAACCGGTCCCTGGTGCCCAAAAGGTTGGGGCCGCTGCTATAGCTCATAGGTGTACCAAAATTCATTATGAAGGTCAAAGATCAGTTATAGCTAAGCATCAATTTTACTGATTTACAGGGAATGGTGCAGTTATATAAATTTGGATTTAATCATAAATGAAAAGACAATATAAAAAATCATAATTGAATTAATAAAAAATGTGACATTTTGGTATTTTTTTCTGGTTAAATTAGTGTGATCGAGTTATCTGTAAAATAAATGCTAGCATTCCATTAAAACTGTACTTACCTCTATTTATTCCAGAATTCCAATTTCCATAACCTAGAAAGAAATTTCCAAATGAGTATTTCTCAAAATGATTCAGATTTGTGTTTATATGTAAATTGATATGTAAATTGATAGTGCTCCACACTCTATGCCACATTGCTCTACAGTTTTAATTTCATTTATGGGTTTCCCTTTGCTAAAATCTTAAATTTGTGTATTTTTCATATTCTGCAGTATACTGAGATCTGGAATTGAACAGCCTAAGGCTTATGTTCAGCTGGTGAAACAGCACTGTATACCTCTTTTTCTAGAATTTACTGTAGAAATACACTGCTCAAAAAAATAAAGGGAACACTTAAACAACACAATGG